GCGGCGACGACGACGACGTCGGCAGCCGCGATGGCGACCCTCCCCGGGCGCCTGTGGCGCGGTGCGCCTCGTGCGCCCGCTCTCCCCCGCAAGGGGCCCAGGCGTGCGAGGGGGAGGGGGGGGGCTCCTCCCATCCTCCTCCTTCTGTGCCTCGCCGTCGACGACGCCATTGCCCGCCCCCACCCCGCGCTGGCGAAGGAGGCAGAGGAGGAGGAAGGGAGGGGGTGGATGGTGAGAAGAAAATATTGCAAGAATGCTACGCGTGAGATTGATGCCTTGGTCGAGTGATGTTGTTTTTTATGTACGGAGTGTGCTCGGGTTACGTTCAGGATGCGTTCAGGATACGTTCAGGATACGTTCAGGATACGTCAAGATACGTTCAGGATACGTTCAGGATACGTTCAGGATACGTTCAGGATATATCCCAAGCACACACAAAGATCACTTACGCAAGCCAATTGTATTCGAGATGCGGGGCTTGCAATAAACCAATATGTATACTTGTGATCTCTATCCCGTATATGTCGCGTGCCAAGTGGATACTGTCCCGCGTATGTCACCCGTCCTGCAAAGTACGGAGTACCCCCGGAACGCCTTCGGCGAGGCGCAGCTGCTGGAAAGCAGCCCGGGGCCAGCAAAAGCCCGGGAAGGTTCCAGAACGAGAGAGGCAGCGCGAGAGGGGCGTCGGCTCCGGGGGGGGCATTGATCGCCGAGTGTTGCCTCACGGCGCACCCCGCCGAGGAGCGCACGGCTTCGCTATCGGGGCCCATCGCCGATCCACCGGCGACGCATCGCCGCATCGAGCTCGATGCCCCCCATCCCCTGAGGCAGGCCCTCCTGCCGCCCCGCCTCGCAAAGCCACGGAGAGCTTTGTCCCAGCTCGCTTGGGCGAGGGGTGTTGCCCAGTATTAGTGCATGCTAGATCTGTCCACGCGCGTGCCGGCGTATGACCGGCGAGCGAGCGAGCAATGCGCGCGGCCAGCTCTGCCCCGAGACACGCTGCCGTGCCCTACCCCCCTGCAGGCGGCCACCGCGCTCGCGCCGGGACTAGGGGTCGTTCTCCGAGGATGTCCCGGGCATGTGGGGCCTTTGGGGGCCCAAAACGGTGCAGCGACCGCACACACAGCACACACACACACAGCACACACACACACACACGCACACACACAGCACGCACACACACACACACACACACACACACACACACACACACACACACACACACACACGCACACACACACACACGCACACGCACACACAGCCCATACACATCACACACAACACAATTCACACACACACACACACACACACACGCGCACGCACACACAACACACAGCACAGCACAGCACAGCACAGCACAGCAAAGCACAGCACAGCACAGCACAGCACAACACAACACAACACAACACATCACAACACAACAAACACACACACACACACACACACACACACACACACACACACACTGGCTGCACGGCTTCAGGCCGTTCGAGGGCGCCGTGCGGTCTGTCACCGCACCGCTCGGGGACCCTCGAGGCTGGGCGGCACGAGCACGGGTGGCCACCAGGGTGATTCCGAGGTTCTCAAGATTGGTCGGGGGGGCGTCACCCCCGCCGATAGCCCCGCGTCGACTCCCGTCGCGGGCAGCCGCCGCGCGCCGAAGGCGCTCCAACCCCCGTCGCGGCGCGACGACGATGCGAGGTTGACCCCCGTCAGGGGGGTACCACCCCACGTTTGTGAAGAAACCCAGGTGTACTCGATGCAGGGTCCATTTCGGTCCGATCGGCCCGTTTTCATACCGGTTTCAAGCTGGCCCGATCGGGTTCGATTTCGATTTCCTGGCGATCCGACGCGGCCGGATGCTCGCATGGCGCTCCTGCGCATCTTGGCGCAGCCGATCCGTTTCGATGTCGGTCCCGTGCCGAAGCAGCCCAGCCCTGTGCCGATGCAGCCAAGTCCCGTGACGAGAAAGCCCAGCCCAGCCCAGTCCCCGGGTCCGCTCGGATTTCTTGGATCGGCGATGGCCGCCCCCCTTGGTGGCATCTTCGGCGCCGCCCCTGTCGCGCTCCGCGCGCCAGGGAAGGGGGGTCCAGCGCCGACCCAAGAATTCAGCACCCCTGGAGGTGACATGTTGTTTGTTGTGCATCTGCGATGTCCGAGGCCAGATTTCATAAGCATCCCGCCGCCTGGGGAACCGAAACAGCAGGCACGTGAAATAAGAAACTAGCCTGTCAGCAGGTGCCCCCCCAAAAGTTCTTATCCCCCGATGGTCCCGGGGGCCAGCTGCAGCCCAGGGGGAACCCGAGGAAATGCAAAGATAGACAACAGGCGAGCCCCCACGGTCTTTGTGCCAAGATTTCTCTTACCGTATGGCTTTGCACTATCCTGAGGAATGCTTGGCGCTTCCTCGAGGCAATGGCGCCCCCCCCTAATGGAGGATGACGATTAATAAATGACCGGGGGTCGTGTTCACGCGGCGGCGCCCGGGATGACGATTAGAAAAACCGGCCGCGGGCTGGAAAACTATTTGTTTAAAATCATTCTCTTCCAGTCCGAAAATTGTGCAGAAATGGCAGAAAACTATTTGTTGAATCGTTCTCCCCCATTTGTTTTCTCAATCGTCATCCCGCATTAGTGGTGGCCTTCCTGGCGCTGCCCCAAGGATGCCTCCAGCGGGACACCGAGGGACGGCGACGCGGCGGCGCCAGCACGCAGCACCTCCGCTGGCCCTCGGGGGGGGGGGGCGGCCCAGGCCTCCGACGTCACGCGCTGCTGCTTCGAAGCTGCGGGCCCCGGAGGCCTCGCCCGCCTCTGGGACCCGCCTGTCGCATGGCATCGCTCGGACGTGTGCGCGTTTTCCTCGGCGAGGGCCCTCGAGGAGCATTCCTGATCGCTTGGCGAAAGAACCACGCGCGACACCGAAAAAAACACAGGGAATGGACGTCCGAGCGATGGCCAGAGCCAGAAGGCCCCGATTTGCCCTCCATTTCCAGTGAGTTGGGGGGGTCGGGGAACATCGAGAAAACACACGAACCAGGAGCATTCTTGATTACTTGGCATCACGCACGAAACCGAAAAAAAACACAGGGAATGGACGTCCGAGCGATGGCGAGGTCGTCGCCGACTGCGGGCACGCCGACTGCGGGCACGCGGCGCGGGCGCGCGGCGTGGGCCGCGCGGCGCGGGCCGCGCCGTGCGGGCCACGCGCCGTGCGGGCACGCCGCGCGGGCGCGCCGTGCTGGCCGCGCCGGGCGAGCGCGCGACGGGCGGGCGACCCCACCTCTCCGCCCGCCCGCGCAGTCGCGGGGCGCTGCGCCGCTGACGGTGCTGCGTGACGGCCCCGTGGCCCGGAGCGGACCCCTCCAGGGGGCTGGAAGCTGCGGGACACGGGCCGCCATCGTGGGTTCTGCTTCCCAGGCGTGCCCGGAGGTGGAGGGCCCGGGGCTCCCAGGTCACCTCCCGGCCCCTGGTCAGGGGCGCGTCCTGGCGGGGCCCCTGGGACCCAAGAGGGGCACGGCGGGTGCATGTTCCTCTCGCCCCTCCATCACTGATCTCGCCCCTCCCCCTTCGGCAGCGCCCGAGCAGCGCTGCCGAGATGACCTCCCGGCCCAGGAGGGGCAGCCAAAAGCACAGCAATGTGGCTCCTCGAGCCTTGATTCGCCTTGATTAGGTCGGGCATGTCCTTCCACAGGCGGGTTTCGGAAGAAACAAGTTGTCAAACAATATTGAACGTAGTCAACAATAACATAAAAATCGTCCCTTGGACTATTCTTGAATACTCCTCCTGTGGAGGGACATGCCCGACTTAAGCCTTGATCCTCGAACCTCGGTCCCCACCCGTTTTGACTTGGCAATCCACAGGTGCAAGAACAGCTAGCACCGAGATCGGTTTGCCGACGTTGGCGCTCTTCGGCCATCTCGAGCCGCTCCTGGTGGCAGCACCAGCGAGCGACCTGCAGCATGCGTGCGGTGGCAACAAGACCTTCGAGCCGGCTGGGGGCCTGGGGTGGCCCAGCGCTGGTTCCGGCCAGCAAGACGGGGGAGCAGGTTCGAGGCGCTGTATTGGTCATATAGAAGTCGGTTTGCATGCCTCAGTCTCCAGGGCCGTTGTCGGGCCCCAGGACCGCCAGAAGCGAATCCGGGGTGAAACACAACATGGATCCCAGGAGGGGTCCCGCGTGGCTCGGCCGTCATCCCCCCCAGGAGGAGGAGGAGGAGGAGGAGGAGGAGGAGGATGAGAGGATGAGGATGAGGAGGAGAGGAAGGAGGAGGAGGGAGGGAGGATGAGGAGGAGGAGGAGGAGGAGGAGAGGAGGAGGGAGGAGGAGGAGAGGAGGAGGAGGAGGAGGAGGAGGAAGGAGGATGAGGAGGAGGGATGGGATGAGGAGGAGGGAGGAGGAAGGAGGAGGGAGGAGGGAGGAGGAGGAGGAGGAGGAGGAGGAGGAGGGAGGAGGAGAGGAGGGGTAGGAGGGGGGAGAGGAGGGAGGAGGAAGGATGAGGGGGTGGGGGAGGGAGGAGGAGGGGGAGGGGAGGAGGAGGAGGAGGGGAGGAGGGAGGCGAGGAGGGAGAGGAGGAGGAGGAGGAGGAGGATGAGGATGAGGAGGAGAGGAGGAGGAGGAGCATAGGAGGAGGAGGAGGAGGGGGGGGGGGAGGGGATGGGAGGGGGAGGGCGGAGGAGGAGGGAGGAGGAGAGGGGAGTAGGGGGAGGAGGAGGGACGGGGGAGAGAGGGGGAGGAGGAGGAGGAGAGGGGGAGAGTAGGAGGGAGGGGGAGGAGGAAGAGAGGAGGGAAGGAGGAGGAGGAAGAACGTTTTTTTGACGTTTCGCTCTCCGGGGGGCTCGTCGGCGGGTCCCATACCCAGCTCGGATCCCCTGGCCCCCATCCAAGCAAGATCTTGCGTTGTGCGACCCCCATCAGGAGAGGAAAAAACACACAGACACAATTCATTTTCGATTCCCCAGAAGATATGGGAAAATATGGGAAGTGGGGGGGAAGCCAGAAACCCAGAAAATATATGAAAATATGTGTATTTATTTGTGTGTCCTGGGGCCCCTTCACTCCACTCCACTCACAACCTCGCTCCTCGAAGCCCGATCCCTGGCGGCGCGCCGAGGGGGGGAAGCCGAGAGGGGGCGGGCCTCCTCGGAGGGCGGCGGGGCTTCGGGGGAGGATCAGGGACTCGGCCGCCCTGCTGCGCCCCCGTGGTGAAGCGCAGGCGTCCGTGTCGGCTCGCTGCGTGTTGGCTCCGCACGCGCCCCGCCTCCTTCCGCCCTCTCTCTGCCAATTCAAGCTGTGCGCGTCCCGCTTACTTCAGATTTCGTAATAAAGGGAGGGGGGTCTCATTTCGGGGGGGGTCTCTTCCAGGCTATCTTGGAGGGCCTGGGGGGGTCTGGGGACGATGTTCTGGAGGGTTCTCCCACGGGGGGGGGTCTGAAATGGCTTGTCTTGGAGGGTCCAGACCCCCTCCCTTTTATTACGAAACCTGGAGTAATTAAAGCCGTGCGCTTCCCGCTCAGCTCTCAGCGGAAGAGGTTCGCTCCCCCCCCTCGGATCACCTGAGTGTTGGCTCTGCACGTGCTGGCCCGCGCTGGTGGCGAACGAACGCGTCGCGCCGAGGGGGCACGTTCTTTCAGTCTCCGTGTTGAGCCGCGTGCCAGCACGCCACCGGGGCCAGGCGCCCCCCGAGCCCTCCGAGGGCGCCCGCCCCTGGCTGCTCTCCCCCCTGGGGCGCGCCGCCGAGGAGAGCCTCGCTCCCCGAGGCACTCCACCCTCGGAGCCCCGCTCCGAGAAGTTTTTCTACATCCCCGCTGCATTTCGTCAGCGGGGGCCGCCCCTGCGTCTCGCCCCGGGCGCGCCCCGTGTGTCCAGCTCTGCGCCGTCTGGCGCTGGATTTCTCCGTCTGATTTTTCAAGAGTCGGCGGTGCGGAGGCCTACTGCTCCTTCGCACCGTGCCACAATTGTACAGTTAGGCCGGCTCTCTGCATGCTGCGGTGGGAAGCAACACGACGACCATGACCAAGATGTCGAGGGGTCTTGTCGGCACGGATCTTGGAGGCGGTCCATGCCCGCCGTGGTCGATTCAGGAGGCTGATCCACGAGCGGACGCTGACCAAGGTGGACGATGACCAAGGTTGGCACCGACGTCCACACGTTCAGTCTCGGTCATGGGCATTTCTTTTGCTTCCCGCCATGATGCATAATTTCTAGGAGGAGGAGGAGGAGGAGGAGGAGGAGGAGGAGGAGGAGGAGGAGGGGAGGGGGAGGGAGGCGGAGAAACGAGGAGGGGGAGCAGGAGGAGAGAGGAGAAGGAGGAGAGGAGGAGGAGGAGGAGAGGAGGAGGAGGAGGAGGAGGAGCAAGAGGGAGCAGGAGGAGGAGGAGGAGGAGTTCCTTCCCGCCATGATGCATGATTTCTAGGCTTTCTTAGCTTTCTCAAACCTTCGGGTGCAGGGGAGGGGCACCGCACTGCACCGCCGGGCCTCCGCAGGCACCCTCCTCGAGCAGTGGCGAGGCGTCCTGGCGTGCTTTTTTAGGCCACCAAGCAACGTTCTGAGAGCCTTGCGCGGCTTTTACAACATGCTCCTCCTCCTCCTCCTCCTCCTCCTCCTCCTCCTCCTCCTCCGGCCGACATTGTCTTTGTTTCAGCACATCGGGCCCATGTTTTAAGAGCATTCTCTTTTGCTCTTAGAACATGTCTGGGGTTCGAAGAACATGTCGTGGCAGGCCTCCAGGAATGCCGGGACGGTCGGCCCATGCTCAACCATCGGGGCAGCTACATTGGTCCGCGTCAGCTCCTGGGCAGACTGGGATCAGGCGGTAAACCGTCAACCAGGTAACCGCCGGCAGCCTCGTAGAGCTCTTTTCTCGCGCGGCACTGATCGGCACACATGAAAGAAGCTTTCTCAAGGATGATCCAAGAAACTCGAAAAATTAGATGTTTCAGTTGTTTCCCAAAGTCGGTTCCTGCAAGTGTTTTTATTGTAATACTGCAGCTAGTCAGCTCCTGGGCAGACTGGCAGGCCTCGTCTGATCACGCACTCAGGGGCAGCGTCAGGGGTTGGATAGGAGCGTGCTCCTTTATTGCTTGGGGCATAATAGGCATTGGAGGAGGAGGAGGAGGAGGAGGAGGAGGAGGAGGAGGAGGAGGAGGAGCAGGAGGAGGGGAGGAGGAGGAGGAGACAGACGCGACGGCTCAAGCAAGCCAACGTGTGTCCAACGCAAAAAGGAGGGAGGAAGGAGGAGGAGGAGGAGGAGGAGGAGGAGGAGGAGGAGGAGGAGGAGGAGGAGGATGGAGGAGGAGGAGGAAGGAGAGGAGGAGGAGGAGGAGTGTGTGACGCCCCTCCCCCCCCAGTGCCCTCCGGCCACTGCCGCCGTGCGCACGGCGGGGGGGAGGCGTCACAGTATGCCCCCCCTATAATTCCCGCGATCGCCGAACGCAGAGAAGCGCGCTCCAGGTCCTGGGAGGGGGGGGGGAGCTGCATCAGACCCCCCAGCCGTACCACTCCTCTCGCCGACAGGGGCCCGATTGCCCGCCCAGCCCGGGGGGGCTCACCGCCGATCTCCCGCCCGGGTCGGGGGCGGAAAAGAAGGGGGGTGATGACCAGGGGGGGGGGATATCACGGCGGGGGCCACGATATTTCCCCAGATTTTATGGCGCCTTTTCTTGTCTCATGACGTCCTCCCTGGCCCCCTCGCTGGGCCGCGCACATGCCGCCCGTCATGATTTGCACCCCCCCTCTTGGACACCCCCCTCTTGGCCGCTCCCGACCGGGGCTGGAGCCGCGGCTCAGGCGATCGCAGACATGGACCAAGGGGGCGTGGGCTAGTGACGGGCCCCGTGTCAATGGGAAATCGCGGATTTCCGCCGCCGAGCGAGGCGGCTCCGGCTTCATTTTGGGGAGGGCACCTCTTGGTGGTCTCCAAACCAGGTGGTGAGACACCCGGTGGTGACCCCGTTTCCCCAAAGAGATAATTTTGGGTCTCCACCGGGTTTGGGGACACGCGGTCGCCACGAGGTTTTGCGTTTCCTGGGCCAGCCAGCGCTCGAAAACCATTACCCAAATCGCCCAAAACTCACCACTGGGTGTTCTCACCACCACGTTTGGGGACCACCAAACCTCCTCCGGTCCATGGATTTGGCGACCGCGCGCCAAGTCCATGGATCGCTACTCCATGCTTGCGCGCCCCCGAGAGGTCGGGGGGCCTGTCGGCGATTCCAGCACCATGTTTCCCCTCCTGAGTCCTCCTCCTCCTCCTCCTCCTTCTCCTCCTCCTCCTCCTCCTCCTCCTCTTCCTCCTCCGGTCCCCACCCCCCCGCGTTCCACATCGAGGCTTGGAGGCTGCGTCTGATCTCGTACACCTAAGATCGGCTACGCGTAAGAGTGACCCTTTGCCAGTGTGGCCTTCGTTGCGTACCTGCAGGGTTCCCACCACCGCTGCCCTGGGCGTTTGGGTTTGGCCCCCTCCGCTGCCCCCTAATGCCGCGCACCAAAAGGTCACTCCTTGCCTGGAGTCACTCCTGCGTGCAGCCGATTAGATTCGAAAGCGGAGGCCTGGCGGGGATTCTCCCCCTCCCCAAAGTTACCGCGCAGTGCGGGATGTAGTGTTTGAATTCGTGTGCGCCCCGTGAGCTTCGGAGAAGAACAACCAACATCACCATGAACCTTGGGAGGCTCGCGTGAACTTGTTGGATCAGCGCTGGGTCCAACTGTCTCTAGCGCCCGGCACGCGCCAGGTGTGACGTTGCCGGAGGGCCCCGCCAGGGAGGTCGACTTTAAGGGTAGCTCTTTGGGAGATGTTACAGTATCGGGAGCATAGCTCGCGCGCCGTTGCCTTTGGCCCAAGGCACGCGCGCCCTATTTGCCCGGACGCCGCGAGTGTTCGCTACGTGCTGGAAAGATCACTACATCGATCTTATCCTATCTTACTCATCCACCCCTCATACTGTACCTTCACAGCAGAGCGATGGATGCAATTTGCCAGGCTATATGCCATATTTGAGCTACCAGGCTCACTTTCGACTTGGTAGCGGAGCTGGCCGCATTCTCGTGTGGTCAGCTCTTGCTCTTCTTAGCCTCATATTCTTCGGCACGATCTTCGTGACTACCTACCACCCTGCGCCACCACTCCCAGTACGTTTACGAGGATCTATCCAAGAGCAAGAAGCAACACGAGAGGTACGACGTCTAGACGACCAGACTGGTACCGTATACGCTTCATCAGTGCGTTACCACCAACCGCTCGGCAACGAGCCAACAGCGCAATACTTGAAGCAGGGGCGGGGGGACCCGCCAGACAGAGCGCCTCGAAGACTCGACAAGGCGCTACCCCAGCGCGACAACGCGCATCATAACCGTCCTTCGTTACACATTCTCGGGCTAGTCGTTTTCGCTATTATATGGTTCGCGCTGGGGGCAGCAATCGGACACATGCGTCGTGGAGAAAACAGCACCGATGGGCAAACACATGGCCCATATTGGGACCCTCAAGGTAATGTACCTTTTCGTGAGTACATCTACGAGGTCAACGCATGGCTCAACGTTACAAGCGGACGTATGACGCCACAGGCCCAAGCGGCCGCAATACAACGCGGCCTAGGTGGCCTAGCGAGGACACTCGCCATGAGGGTACCGCCTGACATTATCAACTATGGTGCTGACATCGATGGGGTCCACACAGACCCAGTGACCTACAGCATGTTCCTCCTAAGCATGATGTTCGAACGCCTGGAAGATGAGCGACAGCTCACTTCCGGCACACAACTCATCGACTTCCACGTGCCTCACGGGGAACGAATCGATGTCACCCTTACCCGATTCGAAATGGCCCGACTTGAGGCACAATCGGTGGGATTCGACCTTCCCAACTTCCAACTGCTAACCACTATCCTATTCCGCGCCTTAGGCGTCGGCAACCAGCGAGCCATGCAACTCTTACAGCCACTCAATCACCAAATGCCCCGAACACAACAACAGTATGATGAGTTGCTGGAGAGGATGCGTTCGATAGGCCACCTATCCGAACGGTCTCCTGGTAACATAGGATCTGTGTTTGGAAGGGGAAGGGGATCTGGTAGTGGAAATTTCTACACTACCTTGACCACTGAAGCCCAGCCTGGAAACGGGCCCTCAAGCATATGGGCCGATGACCCAGGAGAATCCACTGCTTTATTAGCAGGGGATCGATCACAACCAAGCTGGGCAACCAGCCCTCCTTCTAGAGAACCACAACCACACCGTTCTTTGTGGGGGGAATCAAACCCCCTAACCGACGGTGTATCCACCTACTTGGGAGACGAGGATTTCGACTCCGGCACCGATACAGACACTATATCATCAGATGGTGTTGAAGCTTTAGATTGGTCAGATATTATGAATATGGATAACGACAATCAGCGTGCTGAGCATTTGTTCTGGTTATTACAACAGGCTAAACGAAGGTGGAGGAGGTTCACACGAAAACCAGTGCGTCGTGTTAGAAGGAGGATACGTAGAAGTTTTAAAGGAAAGGGTAAAGGCAAGCGAGGTCGTCGGAGGTTGAACGGACGAGGTATCGCGGCATTTCTCCAGAGGCTCTCAGATGAACAACATGATGAGATATTCTTTTGGGGAAAAGGCCGTGGTAAAGGCCGTAGAGAGACCTCAGGTAAAGGCAAAGGCAGGCGGGGAAACCCGCGAGGTAGAGACGGCCAGGTTCTCAAATGCCATGAATGTGGTAGTTCCGATCATCTTGTGCGAGATTGTCCAGTGAAGGGAAATGGGAAGGGCAGGTCGACCGAAGTCCATTTTGGCTCAAGTGAACCACCCATTGAATATCTGAGCCTCCAGGACTTTGAGGCTATTGAGCAGATATTTTTCACTTGGGTTGTTGGCATGGACAACGTCGACGAGCTCGAAGCGTATGGTCATGGATTGTACGCGTACTACCTCGAGTACGTCCGCCGGTTCGTTATGGGCAGTAACGAGCTTACTCCCGTGGAACACGGTACGCTGGGAAACCAGCCTCTTTCTTTCTACGACTGGATGTTCGGGAACCCAGGCAACATCATGGCCTACGAGAGCGACGACGAGGACACCACTATAGAGGCTTCGCCTTCCGAGGTTCAACGGAACCTCGAACCTCCGCCCGAAATCCCGCCTGGAAACAGGCCGTCTCTGATGGGAGAATATCCCCAGACCACTGAAGACTTAATTGAAATGGAGTCTCAGGCATTTGTTCAGGCCTTCATTGCAGGCGAACCAGATACTCCGTTCATACCTCCTGGTTCGCTTGCTCCAGGCGAATATGGACCACGCACCCTTTTGCAGACCCTCATGAGGATGCATGAGATACTTATAACTGGTTATCCTGAGAGTCAAGAACATATCGAAGCTGACATTATGACAGAACAGGATACTGATGCTTGCGGTAGCTCAGAGCTGTTGTTGGCAGCTCTGACTCTCATTGACAGCGTGCATCCTCAGGACGTGCAGAGACACTTGATATACTCCCGTGGTAGATGGCGTAATGCTCTAGAAATGGCTATTGCTATGCGCGGTCATGATCTTCCTCCGCCAGGATGGGGTCTCCAGGCGGTGGGAATGAGGCCAAACCATACGGCCATGCGTAACATTGCTGGGCAGCCTGTGCTCGGCAACGAGCCTGAGCCGACAACAGTGCCTCCTACTCCGGGACAGCCGAGCGACGCACAGACGCCGGCTATGCAGGGAAACCTGCCTGTACCAGATACGCCAATGGCCATCATCATCGGTAGTTCGACATCAGAAGAAGTAGAAGGCGATGGTTGCGGGTTAGATGAGGATGACGTCACCATCCTCATGATGGACGTGAATGGTGAGGAAGAGGTTGACTTCGATCCTGATGAGTCTGAATCATCATCACCATCGGCACAAGCGCCATTTGCGCCGAGCTCCACCCAGCAGGGAGACCTGCCTCCATCGGACGATCCATCTGGGATCGCACAGGAGCCTCCTCAGGCACCTCCACCGGGTGCCGCTCCTGCTGCTTCGGCAGCTTCCTCTGATGAGAACACCAGAAGATCTCGTTCCCATACGCGCGTCAGAGAAGAGCCACATCCACAGGCTCGACTTCCTCGTGAGTGGAGGCAGGCTGGCCCAAAAGAACACGCTCTCAGGAGAGGTGGCCAGCTACTTCCGCACAACGACCCAAGACGCCGAAAAGGGGAACACTCGGCCTTCGGCAAGGGCAACCCTGCCTATAGGGACAGTGATGGCAAGGCCATCCGCGGAGGCTATCAGCTTGCAACAAATATCCGCCGCCCTGAAATTCAAGAAGCGCGGACTCAGTTGCGAGATATTATCGCGGCGCGCAAGCAGTATAGGCCTCACGCAGCATGCGGACCTTGTTCCCAGCCGTTCCAGAACCACAGGCCAGGATGCCCCGTTGGCAACAACGAAGGCCTGAGCCCCAACAGGGACAAAACCCCTCATAAAGAGGGCCATCCGCAACTTATCCCGATGACACAGGAAGAAATTGCAGAAGTGAATCGTCGTCTCGGGATCTTGAGCCACTTGGATCCGAAAGAAGAAGAAAAGCCTACCCCGGTTCCAAGGGGACTGGTAGCCATGACCCAGGAAGAGAAAGACGCGCTCTTCAGTCTTCCTAGTATGCGAGGAAACTCGCCTGGCGTCTCTAGCCAGTCCCAACAACCAGAACCGACAATCAAGGATGAGATAAAGGCTCAACGCGTGGCGGAGGATGAGGAGCGTATGCGGCCAGCAGAAGACCGCACTCGCGAGGCAACTCGCAAGATGTTGGAGGATTCTAGTAAGATCTACATGAAGAGGGCTACGAGGCCCCCACTCCCACTAACTTCGAAGGCCAAGAGTGAACCCCCGACACCTAAGCCGTCCTCGGTGCCGAAACCGAAGACGAGCCCTCAGGACCCTGGGCCAGACGTGCAGATGGAGGTGCCTCGAACTGAAACTCCGAGGCCGCCGATTGGCACAACTCCTACACAAGCGTCTGTGCCCAAGCAGCAACCTCAGGACCCTATGGAGGAACGAAGACGCCCGCCTAGTCGCAGCAGCTCCATTGCGAAAAAGGCGGCAGCTTTCGAGCGCAGTGGGCATGTACCTGCGCCAGCTTCGCCTGTGGCGGCTCGTTCCAGGAGGTCCGATGAAGGTGCTATGTCGAGGGGTACCTGGGTGCCGAAGATCAGGGGCAGCGCCAGTCGCGCATCTCCGCGGGGAAACCCGCCAGGCGCTGCCGCCGCAGCTTCCTCCTCTTCTGGAGCCGCAGCCTCTTCAGCAACAGAGGTTCCGATGCGGGGAAACCCGCCAGTGGTTCAGCTGCACCACCCAGGTGACACGTCCTTCACTAGTGGGACTCCAAATGTGATCAGGGATAGACTTGCGCTTCGGAAGCTCCCACCGATACGCTCGGTGGATGAGACATTCATGAAGGAATGCAGGAAAGCTGGAATCCTTCCCACATCCAATGATATTCTCAAACAGCTGAGCAAAGCTCTCAGCAAGACATGCAGACATGCGCCAGACAAGCAACACAATCCTGTGTGGCGCTTGGAATCTTTCGATGATCATGATGGTTGGGTTAACCTAGTGGAAGTCGTGGACCGTTATCCGTGGAACACAGGTCAATCAAGACACGCTGGGTATAATCCAAGATATGACGAGGCCAAGATCATCAACGAACATCTATGTAGGCGCTCGGTTGACCAACTAGCAGCCATCATGATGGCCGTTGTTCATGTCC